AAATAAACAATGGTATATGCTACAAGTGTTTTAGGTGTCAAGCAAATTTGTACAATGCTATTGAAAATCATAAGATGGATGAATCACATTGAATTCTTAAATTTGGAGTATTTTTATATTCACTCCAATAATTATTATTTTTAGGGTGTTAAGCCTTGGCTCGACTAGATCCACACACGAGTCGGTTCATGCTCTCTCAGGGTAAGCAAGGCATGAGGTAGTTTATTCGAATTTTTTTTCAGCTTGACTTGGCTCGTCCAAACTCTTTTTAATTTAAAACTAATTTTTTGAAAGTATTTGAAAATTAAGTCGATAAAATCATTGGTTGAAGTATTTGACTTACAGATATATTGGTAAAGATATTCCTACTGGTTTCACCATAAATAACTCAAAATATAGTATTGCAATGTATCAAAACAATTGTTATACACCAGTCATAAGCGTCATAACACATGTTGATGCTCATAGCATTACTCTTTGATAATAATTAAAAATAAAGGACATAAACAATAGCCAGTATGAGACAACTGAGAATAGGAAGAAATGATTAAAAAAAAAAGTGGAAAATGTGAAAAATGGTATTTAACCAATCTGTATTTAATATTTATAGACCAGAAAAGTGGAAAGAAAGGGGAAATTTGTATTTTTCGTCCAACACCCTTGCAAATGTAACAAATTTACCATTAGGCCCCGTTTGATAGGCCTTATTTTCCGGGAAAAATGGAAAATGAATTCATTTTCTCACTTTTTAACACGTTTGATAGCTCTAATTTTTCAGGTAAAACATTTTTCTTACTTTTCCCCACGCGCCTGATTTTCCAGCAAATGAATGAAAATTATTTCCTCTCCTTCAGCTGAGATTATATTTTCCACCCAAGGTGGAAATCACAAAACCAAAGTGCCCGATTGGTGGTGGAGGAACAGAGTAATTTGGAGGGCGTTTGGGCCTTCCACCATCGCCAGATGACGGCAACGGCGGAGAACACCCACGTATGGGTGGCGAAGGGGGGAGGGTGGACACCCAGAATTGGTGGGATTGATGGTGAGACCCAAAATGGGGCGAAGGGACAGTGGGCGAAGGGGGGAAGGGACGGTGGGGGAGTTAGTCGGAGGTGGGATTGATGGTGGAGGAATCGGTGGAGAAACTGGAGCAACTGGATTGATGCGGGAGGAATTGGGACGGTGGGGGAGTCGGGCGGTGGTGGGATTGATGGTGGA